GGTGCCCATGCGCTCGGCCCAGCTTCAGCAGGAAGGGCCTCAGTGCCGTCGTCAGCTCGCCGGTCAAGACCTGCTGCCCCTCTCCAGCTGGGTGTGGGTGTCGACCCGTGTCCCTCGTCCTGACCCCTGGCCAGCCTGCACTCACACTGCAGTGGCCGCTCCTCGCACCCACTTCCTTCTCACGGGAGCCGTGCTAGACCAGCCCCTGGGGCCGGCCCTGCATCACTGTCCCTGGAATGCAAGTGGCTCACGGGGAGCCTGCAGGGCAGGGCGTCTGGGGAGGAGCTTGTGCGTGACGTTCTCTGGGGCCAGCAGTGCTGGTGGGTAGCGCTGGTTCTGGGCCGTGTGCTGCGCGGCAGTGTTAACCCACATCCCGCCACCCAGGGAGGTCCCTCCTCGCCGTGTCAGTGAGGAGGTGTGTCCGGACGTGTGTGTTAGGGAGGCACAGGCTGCTCCGAGCAGTGACAGGCCGGCAGCTGTGCGTCATTCTCGCTGCCCCCCAGCCCCCGTCGGCCTTAGTGCAGGTCATCCTGGAGGAGCCACTGTCTGCTCTTGTTTGGGGGCAGGTGAGGCTGAGCTCCTGGGCGGTTAGTGCTGGTGGAGGCAAGGCCACGCTTCTCGGAAAGGAGCCTCCTGCGGGCCAGCCGGGCTCCCTTACCAACAGCTGTCTTTTCCCCCCACCTCAGAATAGCATTCCTTTCGAACACCACGGCAAGTAGCTGCACGTCTCCCGGTGGAAGGCAGCACTGGGTGAGTGTGCTCATGGCCGGTCTCTCCAACAGCAGGCACCAGGGCGGGCGGGGCTGGCCCCTCGCCCACGGGGAGCACACAGGTGGGCTTGGTCTTGCATGCCAGGTGCTGCAGAGTGAGGTCCCTCTGCCCAGTGCTTTCCCTCATGGATTCCAGAACTGTGGTCAGAGCCAGTCGGGGGGGTGAGGAGCGAGCAGGCTGTAGGGGCCCCTGAATGGGTGACCCCAGGACCTGCCGCTGTGTGGGGAGCCGGACCCGGGCTCTGTAGGTAGGTGCGCTGGCTCCAGTGGCCCTGGGACACTCCAGCCGCTGGGTCCAGGGTCGGTTGTCGGATCGTGTCAGTCGTGCTCAGCTGAGTGGCCGCGCTTGGTGGGGCCTCTTGTGCTCTTGCTGCGCGAGACTCCTGTGGTCTCCGCAGTCCTGGCTTCCTTCCACGTTCATTTCTGTCTTCCTCGTTTTCTTTTTCTTTTCGAACTTGGTCTCTGCCCAACACCTTGTCTCTGCTGTTGTGTGTACTAACCCGTCGCCCAGCGCTGCTCCCTGCGACGTGCATGGCTGGGCGCCCAGGCTGGGCTCCTGTCTGGGCCACGCTGGGCGGCTCCTCCCCTGGATGGGGGCTGGCGGCTGGGCCATGTGGACCTGCTGGGGCTTTAACACTGCGGTGCTCTAGGAACCATCTCGATGGGAACTGCTTGTACCTCCCCCTGGAGGGGGTACCCCAGTGCCCATGAGGCCTGGCCCCCAGGCTACTGGGGGGATGGCTGGGAGCCAGTGTCTCTCCCGCTTGGACTCTGTCCTGTCGTTGACGAGCTTCTCCGCCGCCTGCATGCCTCTTCCTCTTCCGTCTCCTGTCGCTGTTCTGCTGAGCACGTCCTGGCCGCAGAGGGAGCTCCTGGAGCAGCCGGGGGCACGGGCGTCCAGAGTGGGCGAGGCGGCGTCTGTCCCCTTCCTCCCAGGGCACCTCACTGACCGACCGGTCCAGCCCTCCGGCCGCACGCTGACCTTGTCCTGTGCTTTGGCTCCGACAGATTCCCGGTCGGGTGGCTTCCAGTGGTCTTCAGTCTGTCGTGCACCGATGAGAACTCCTTTTTGCTGTGAAGGGCAGACAATGCATGGCTGATCTCCTCTGTTACATGGCTTTACTAGTGACGCTCCCCGGGCTAGGACACCGGGCGCTCTCCAGGCCACCCACCCAGCAACGCCCGTGGGGAAACCAAACAGACTAACCGGACAGACTCCAAGCGCTGCCACCGCCGGGCTCCACTGAGGCCCACGTGGACATTGTCCAGGGCTGGGAAGACGGCCGCGTGAGTGCGAGACACTTGAGACAACAGACTCCCGATGCAGAGCCTTTCGGTCCTCCCTGCCGCGGTGGCGCCCGCGATCCCTGATGAGTCTGCTGTAACCACCATCTTCTACTTGGTTCTGACAGTTTTGTATCATTTTGCTAAAAATTACTGGCTTAAATCTGTGTAAAGAAATCTTTTTATTGTTCTTGTCTGTTTCTGCGGTCTTAAAAAAGATGACCTCAAAGTGTGTCCCGCCTCAGACACCGGCGTGGAGTTCTGTAGACCAAGGTGGGCGCGGGCACCCTGCTGCCAGCGATGTTTCCTGCTTCTGTTTGGTGTAGTCCACTGTAGGGGGGTGTTCTCCCGGAAATTGTCACGTGTACACGTGTGTAACATGTCTGTGCGTGTGTTGTGTGCTGTGTTCTGTGACCTCTCCTGGTTTTGGCCATCACTCCCTCCCACCGTAACTGAGCCGCCAGGACTCGAGTCGTCAGAGCCATTAGAGAGCAAGGGCGTCGTGGTGCTTCTGGCGGAGCCGAGCACCGATCCCACCTTCCCAGACGCGGCAGCGGATGCCAGGTGCCTAGGACCCAGTGCCCAAGACTCGGAGGCGGAGGCTGCGCCGGGCCCTCCTGGGTTGTGTGCGGTTACTTTGCTGGTGGTTGTTGCCTCAATGCCTTTGGATTTGGGGGCATTTTCTAGACAGACTGTAAATATTAGCAGTGCAGAATGGCCCGTAACGTGTGCTAACATCTGTGTACTCAACATCTGTCCACCTGGGGTGCAGGTTTGCCCAGAAAGAGGCCGGCCCAAGGGAGCCCCCTCTCAAGTGCCCAGAAGCAAGTGATCCGTGACCTGAGGCCCAGGAGGTTGTGTCCTGCTTTCTGAACCCAGAGGACGGAAGCAGGCAGGGCCGGCCTCATTCTCGCCAGAAAGACACTCGGGGGGCCGGGCTCCCCGTGGCCCCTTCCCAAGGCCCCAGGCGGTGGTGGCAGAGTAGACAGGAGCCCCGTCTCGGAATGGGGTCCAATGCAAACATTCGTAGGTACTTGCACTCCCTGTCCCCCCTGCAGAGGTGGGGGAAACGGGGGAGCTCGTAGGATGCTATTAGCCTTTAAAGGTGTACAGGTCCATGTCCCTCCTGCCCCAAGTCCCACAGCACAGGGCGCCGGTCCTGGGATGCCCGGCGTGGGTGGGTGCACCGACGCACAGCTGGCCGCCCTGCAGGCGCTGGGGGACGTGGCCGGGGCGGGGGAGTCAGGGCAGGGGGCTTCCCTCCGGAGGTGTGAGCCGCGGCACCCCACCCAAGCCCTCCCACTGGCCGCGGACAGTGTCGCATCCATCGCCCCCACACGAGCCAGTGTCTGCAGCCCGTGTGGGTGGTGTCTGACCTGTGCATTTGTGTGACCACTGTATTTGTGTACTTACCACACCATGTAAATAATAAATATATGACGTCTACCTTTCTTCCCCGTCCCCAGCATGTGGTCTTTATTTCGTCAGCGTGAGTTTTCCATGTGTAGGTCACTTTCTGAGCCTGGGCCCCTGTGAGCCTGGGGAGCAGGCGGATGGGCTGGGACGGGGCTGCTGCACTTGGCATCGGCCCGTTCTCGGGGCCACGGCCGGCAGGGCACGTGGACCCGGCCCAGCCGGGCCTTCCAGATGTGCTGAGCACCTCGGTCCTTCCTAGTGTCCCCAGGGCATGACTCCAGGGGTGGGTACGGCTACTTCTGCTGCTCCTGGCCAGCAGGGGTGAGGCACCTCAGGGCGAGAGGGAGGTGGAAGTCCATGGGGGCACTCAGTCCTGATCAGTGAGCCCCGGGGAAATCCTGTGACAGTAGGCAGGCCGAGCCCCCCGCAGAAGAAGGGAGTGGGGTGCACAGCCCAGAGGGCAGGCGGCTGCTGAGCCACAGGCCTTGGGGCTGGCCCTTCCAGACCTGACAAGCTTTGCCCAGGGCCCAATCTGGCCCACCTCACACGAGGGGTCATAGAGGTAGGGCTGCGCCTCGACCTGGGAGTGCCGGCCGAGGGGAAGCAGAAAGGGTGCCGCTCAGCAGGGCCCCGGGCCTGCGGGGCTGCGGGGAGGTGCCTGG